CGCGTCCCAGACTGCAGAGGTTGAGGGGAATGATGCGTTTGGATAGCACTCGAGGGGGAGTGTTGAGAGCCGAAGAATCCGAGGACGGAAAGGCCGATAGAGGAGGATATGGGACTACGGCCGAAGAGTAAGGCAGCTCGAGGTGCGAGCGCCACCAAACGGAGATTCCAGACGACGTGTCAATGTCGGCTATCTTTTTTTATTCCTTTAGTATATGTTTTCATCAAAAGGCCAGCTGGCGCACTCACCATATAAAAGCAGCCATCCACCATCGAAACATCTCAGATTCGTAATCTGAATACTGAGATGTAAGTCTTCTAATGTAACGTTTGAGTACAAGTACTAACGTATACCGTAGCTTACCTGTCTAGGTAAAAACACTTGTCAATAAAGAGATTCGTAATCCGAATACTGAGATCTTACCTGTCTAGCCTCGCGTGAACGCCCTGCTATACTCTCAATAAGAGCCAGCTCTACCTGTCAATTTGTGTCAGAGACTCGTGAAAGGGTGTAAGCATCAGTGGCAAGTTTAGTGTGGACATGGGAAAGTCAGGAATTATGTTTGAACTTGAAGTTCAAGTTAGTACTACTACTAGTGTGACACCAATATTACCTGCTGATCACTGATATCATGTGCACCCCAATGCTCATATTCCCTACTTTATACACACCATGTTGTAACAGTTCACTCGACCAGGATGGCCATTCCTCCGAGTCACAGCTCAGAAAACAGCTTTAAAGATTCAAAAGCAACCTAACGATGAAGCCGACTTGAATCCTGGAGAACGGACCTCCGCAGAAGGTGCTGTTGCTCGCCATTTTTAAATTTGCCCATCTGACATCATTCAGATACCACTGGAGGCATGGGCCATTGCCTTGGTGTAACTTCTTACCTCACTCTCCTTATCGTTGGACGGCTCGTCGGTACAGGTATATTCCCAATACCATCCTCTACCCTTTCCGGCTTGGGCTCAGCCGGCGCCTCCTCGGTCCCTTGGTTAGCTTCTGGGGCCTCTTCGTGTGGCTTGAGTTCGGCAGCATGTTCTCTCCCAGTGGTGGAGAAAAAGTATACCTTGAAGTCGTGATCCTTGGGTTCAATGCCAGTGATTGTATCATAACTCCTTCGTCGAGGTTCTTGCTAGCAAGCTCATGTTTCGGTTCTGAATGCAATGACTCTGTTGATGTGATATAGTATTCTGGTTCTTGCTGGTCAACCCGTAGGTCGCTGCACTGAGTGAGAAGCTTGGAGATAGAGGATGTTTCTTCAAGACGGACACAAAGGAGCCAGAGAAGAAGATGCTTTCAACTGCAGCGAGTGAGGATGAAAGGTCAATACAGATGAGGTTTTCATTAAAAATGCCATCTGTAGTGGTAAGAAGTCAATCTAACCTAATAACCAGCCTCCATACAAATTTCCTTCATTCGAAGGAACATGTCTGTGTCAATTGTATCGACAACCAAAAACTCATTCAGTCTAGTGCTATCCTCTGCTAATACACAACCATGGACTATTGATTGAACCGAGAAGCATTCAGCAGAGGCCCTGGGCTTTGCCTTGACCTGCCAAAATTTGAAATCTTTGTCCTTCCATGGATGAGCGCCAACCACTTGATCATATAGGAGTGAGTGTGATAGGATAATTGATGTCCCCAACTGTGCAGGTAAAGATCAACAACAGCTTGGTGAAGATGGAACCAGCTTCCATTTGCAGGACGACACAATTATATCAAGGCAATCCATGAAACATTAGATTGCATTGGAGACTTGCCAGTCAACAAGCAACTCATAGCTGACTTTAAGGAATCTAAACTCGGTAATCTGAGAAAAAGTGCAATACTATTAGTGATGTCATTTGAGGGTTGTAGATGCTCAACGCACCATGTCACTAGCAGCAAGTTAGACACATCTTCCACTTGGAAATGATATATTGTTGGCAGCAAATGCGTGGTTCAAAAATTCATTCAATTTGATCAAAAACTAGATTGCCCATGTTACCTGCTTTGATGTCTGCAAATGATTTACTCCCCTGCCATGAACCAAGACTAAAGTGCTGTGCATCAGTTAGATTGGTCTGTTCGACCTCATTGGCCTCCAACAGATCAGGTAGATCTGATGAGCCTATATTCTGTGCTTTGAGGCAGTCCATCTTGCTATGGTTCAATTCTACATAGCTCCAAATACAGCAAAGCAGGAGATAGGCCTGTGGATCCAGATCATGCTTACAGCTCTTTTCATAAAGGATGGCAGTGGCATGATTTTTTCATTCAATTAGGAAATATTAGACTTAGAGAAATTTTGCCTGTTATAAACTATCTTCTCCTGAAAATCATTATCATTATGCCATTTACACCTATTCCTGCCTCAAAAAAAACACAAGGGTCTCCTAGAGTATGATAGCGACTTTGATTCCAATGGCCCTGACGAGGATAATACTCGGATCGAGAGACTTTCAGATGAAGAGGGACCTGACTCTGATGGCGCTGACAGTGAAGATGACAAGCTCAAGCAGTCACAGCCAGCGAATATAATCCTTACACCACCTCCCACAACATGACCGTGCATTGTTGTGCTAGGCTGATGGTTCACAACATCGCCAGTTTCACACCAGAGCCTCAAAATCCCAAACCAGGTGCATTCAGAAATCTGCAGGAGTCCAGGATATCGCGAAGGCTTAGAAGGTTCCATTTGTGAAGTTGGATTGCTGCAAGTTGACAAAGGTCAGCCGACGTATTCAAGCTATCGGCTTGACGACTGTGAATGGGAGCTATTGGGTTTGATTAAAGAAGTCCTTGCGGTAAGCATCAGTCACTGGCATCATGTTGCATGCACTACTTTTAGATTGATGGTCCTCACAGGCTGCGGCAGAAATCCAAGAGGCTTTTTCGGCTGAGTATTACCCTACCTTCTCCAGTTGGACCACCCCTCTACCATGAATAGAGATTGTATGCAGCCCTTTCTCCAGATGGAAAGGTGCTAGTCACTGCTTGCCAAAACAAAAATGTGTAAGAATAGGACATTCAAGCCATTCTCAAAGAAGTTGGGCTTGAGAACCTGTCTATTCCCACATCAGTAAACTACAATCTTCTGTACAGCTCTGCACAGAACCATCCAGTAATAGAGTAAAGTAAATAGACCAAAATAAAATCACATTTTGGGCAATTAAAATGACAAAGGCAGGATTTGAACCAGCAAGTAATTGAAAAAATAGCAGAATACATTAACCACAACACCACAGTAGCTCAAATATTATTGAAACAGGATGCTCCATATACCAATGTTACTCAAGCCTCATAATGTTGTCAGAAGTGAAAAATAGGTCTTTCTTTGGTGAATCATTACACCCTTAGTTTAGAGCAAAGCTTATTGATAAAGCTTATTAAAATCCATATATTTCAATAAGGGCAAATTGTACAACTTGAATATTATTGAGGCTTGAGCGGCATTGGTATATATATCATCATGTTTCAATAATGTCTGAGCTACTATGGTTTATTGGTTAATGTGTCTTGTTACTTTGATAGTGAGCATAACAGTTCAAACCCTGCCTTTACCATTTTAATTGCCCAAATGCTATTTTGTTTTGGTCTATTAAGCCTAACTTTTCTGTGATGCAACAAGCTTGAGGGCAACCAGCGAGTATCCTGTGCAGCGCGCCGTCCAGCATCTATTTATTTACAAAGGGTTTCCTTACTCACAGACTCCCTGACAGAAGTGCAGACATCTGCACTTCACTCGCTACCCACACAAGAGCTGTCCTCCTCGTCATAGCGTGCTCAGTTGAACCTGCTTCACCATTCCACCATAACACTGTGGGAAGTAGAAACAATGAATTTCAGTGGTTTGAGCATTGAACCAATGAGCCTCAATGTGCATAACACTGAATCCCTCAGCAAGTGTATTCATTGTTTCGGCTAATATCATAGATTTCATTGCCAGTGTGAGCACTCAGTGGTGTAAACAATGATATGTGACTATGAAATACGATCAATCAAACAATAAAATGTGGTGGTTAGGCCAATGAATTTTAATGGTTTGACACATGAATTTCAATGGATCACCAAAAAAAAAAGGGCACAACCTATGAAATAATATGGAGAAAACAACAAAATGTGATGGATTAGCCAATGAATCTCAATGGTGTGAGATATGAATTTCATTAGTGAAACTGACTTGGTGGAATTTTCATTCTTCCTCAGACATGGTAGACATATTGGCATTGGCACTGTCATATAACATTTGGATATATTTGCGTTATTGTTGATATATACAAATGGTCCTGTGGCCTACATAGCGGTTAACAATGCTGCAACTTTCATTACCGGAGGTCTTGGGTTCACATGTTCAATCCTTGCCAATGGCAAACTATGCTGCATGAAATGCCTGCATGTACTGATGGGCACCCAGGCTCCATACATAATCTGGTACTATATTCTTTTGCTAAATACATATACCCTATCAAATTCAATGGTTATGTTGTCAATAATCAGTGGCCACACCATCGAAAGTCAGTGGTTTACCGCATTGAATTCAGTGGCCATGTCAACAACAATCAGTGATTCAACCACTGATGTCCATTGTCTTTTTGGGGGATTCAATGGCCGTCGATTCATTGTGCTACCTCATTGGTTTCAGTGGCTCTCTCTATTGATTTTCAACGTTTTCTCCTACTTAAATTCATGGGCTTTCCTTTCCACAGTGATAACATCCTCATCTATCCTCACTCTGCTGTGTGAAATTTGAATTGACCACCTCTCATCCAGACGTGCACTCAGACCCACCACTCTTCAGCGACTCAAAGGCATAACCACAGGCCGGAGAAAACTTTTGAGGCTCATCAAGAGGATTTTATCATCCATCAGCTAAATGCTGCAGCCTGGGGCAGAAAGGTATGTACTGACTTTCTTTCGCATACTGTTTCCCTGATGCAATCCAAAGGAAAGATTGCTCTCGCTAGCGGTGACACTTAACACTCCCTTTTCCCAGATGCCTTTCAGCCAAACATGACTTTTGCTTTCGACTCCTTCAACATCGAAGACCTTCACAACGTGGACCAGGGCGTCATCGATAATCTTTTACCTTTGATGCGGTATCATCAGCACTCGTGGCATTTCGCCATTGGTTTAGGCGACGACCATGTAAGTCGCGGTGTCAGTCCGGACCATCCCATCCTCAGAGAAACACTCGAGCAGATGAACACTCTTTTGCGCGATGTCATTGCATCCATGGACGATGATACCCTCACAACTCTTGAGGATCAAGAAATGGACAAGACGGGTAATCATGGCGGTGATAAAGTCCTAGAGGCAATGTTAGCTATCTGGATATATGGCAAGGTCCCTCTCTCCCTTCCCGATTCCACAATTCCAGAGGCCATTCTACCGATCATCACATTCCCAGAAGCTACGGTCCCCCATAGCCATGTAGACCTAGTGCCAACTACTTCCTTGCTCCTTGGTCTTCCCATCCCATTCAATAATCTCAGAACCGTCATTCCAGAACTTTTCAGCTGGGATTCCGACGGTTCATCTTTGCAGAAAGCTGTGGTTGACGTTTTCTACGCTATCCCTCTCCGTGAAAGCAAGTCAGACTGGTGAAGCTATGGTCTGGGTTCAGTCGCGGTGAGCCATCGTATGCCGATGTGCCTGGGCAACACTACATGGTGATGGACTTTGACTGCATCCTGCAGTTCCAGAAGATCTTTCGGGGTTGTCTTGAGGTTCGTGGCCTCTAAAAATCTAGAGTGGCACATTCATATTGCGTTTTCTCTTCCTTGACCCAGGAGTCCGTCAAACTCTCGCTAACACATCCGGAGCTATATGAGGAGATGGGAATTAAGCCGCCAAAGGGCACCATCCTTTACGGGGTTGCTGGAACAGGAAAAACCCTCTTTGCCAAGGCAGTCACAAAGCAAACGTCCGCAACATTCTTGTGCATGGTCGGTTCTGAGCTTATTCAGAAGTATCTTGGTGATGGTCCCAAGCTTGTTCGCGCACTCTTTCGCATAGCTGAAGGACATGCCCCAAGTATTGTCTTCATAGACGAAATCGACGCTATAGGTACCAAACGGTAAACGACGCGTTTCACTTTTCATTTATGAACACTGACGCTATCTTTGAAGGTATGATTCAACATCAGGTGGCAACCATGAAATTCAGAGAACAATGTTTGAACTAATTAACCAGCTTGATGGCTTCAACACTCGTGGCGACATCGAGGTTATCATGGCCACAAATAAGATTGAGACGCTAGATCCCGCACTTATCTGACCAGGTCGTATAGACTGACAGATTGAATTCCCGCTGCCTGACCTGAAGACCAAGCGACATATCTTCCAGTCAGCTTTTCCTCTTCCCTTGCAAATTTGACGAAGACTGAATAATGACAGATTGCATATGTCACGCATGAGCCCGAGCAAAGATGTTGATCTGGAGGAGTTCATCATGGCCAATGAAGATCTTTCTGGTGCTGACATCAAGGCCGTCTGGACAGAGGCATGCTGGCTTTGCGGGTGACGAAAGCAGACTACACTGCTGCAAGGGAGCAGGTAAGTTGAATGTTCAAACTGAGGCTGACGTTGCTGAGTTGTTGTAGGTTTTGCACAGGAAGAACGAAGGCACCTCTGAGGCCTGTATCTGTAGCTTGTCCCTGTAGATTATCAATTCGCATTTTCATGCACTATTTACGAGCATTCTGCAAGGTGACTCTTATCTGCAAAACCCTCTGCTCGCGTCCACATTGTGACCTCACTATCTGGCCCCTCTATTCACAACTGGTGGGTTTGGAATTCATGACTTCAGAGATGCTACACTTATTGGCTACATGATAATCCGCCGACAACCATGCACAAGTGAAAAGTAAAAGTGCGCCTCCTCTTTGTGTTTTTCGTTTGCGATTATCACAATATTATTGGCTACCAGTGGCTACCAGACATCAACACCAGTTCTTGCCCATCACGAGTTTCATCTATGGGCCGATGATTTGAAACCTGCACGGGGAAATCGACCTGAATATCATCGATTTGTGGAGAGTACCCAAGAGATTGCTCGGTAACATTGGAGGGTAAATTGGCCACAAAAGGTTGGAAGTCTGCGAAAGAAACCATCTGAAAACGAAGAAAAGCAAAGGTATTCACCCTCACCTCAGGATCACCGCTGTCCTTGCTACCACTCTGTCCTTCATAATTGAAATGCAACACAGTTGAGCTTGATGGCGGTAAGAGCAGATGAAAACTCGCCTGCTAATGCAGTCACCGACCGCCCATAGGAAGAATAGGAATACCTGGCCTCTCGCATGGCCTGCTGCCTGAAGGGATTATGAAGTAATGCACATAGCATTGAGAACTTAGCCACTTACCTCTTGATCTCTTCGAGAAATGAATCCATGGCTCGTTTGCCTTTCGGCCTCGGTGCATTACCTGATGCGGTAGACTGGTCAAGAATATAAGCACAAGTAGATGTCGCTCGCATGAAGCAGTTCACATACTTCACCCTCATTAGACAGAACTGGGCTGTTGCGCGACAAAGACGGTTGATGTGCTAACAAATCCCGAACCAGCCTTCTGCTTATCCACACTTTCCCCCTCAAACACATCAACAGCGACACGTGTTTTCCTGAGAGAACTACTCAGACTGTGACCGTGACAATCATGATCTTGAATATCGAGGGCAACTGAAAGGAAGATATTGATATTGAATAAGATAATAGAGTACAAAAAAATAATACTCGCGTACATTCATGTTTGGCCTTGGGAGCCAATTTGTGTAGAAGGGTTAGGAAGAAGATAACTGAAGACCATGAAATGACCGCAATATGACAGCTAGGTAGGAGATCATACCTGCAAGTGCAATTAGATGGGATGGAGTTCACAAGTACCATCTGTGAGCTCATATCAAGTGTGTGCGCCAAGGACATTGATGTTGTCTTGAAAGTTTGGGGCTATCTTGACTTCGTGCTGGAGGATGAAAGCTACATCATTCTGTAATACTGCAGGAGAGTCCATCCACCCTTGGGGAAGCATGGTAAGACGAAGAGTACCGAGAGGTGTCTGGAAGGTCGTGATATCTCGCGATTCTTCTGCAAGATCCCAGTGATCGAAGCCTACAAATAAGTCCATCATTGTATAGATACCTTGCCCTGCTGATTGCTCAGCAAAATGCTCGACATATGGAAGGGTTGCAGCATCTTTGAAAGTGACTGAATTAAGCTGCTGGAGGTCATGTACGATGTGGACTGCTCCACTCTTCTTTGCGACACAAGACCAATGAGACTGGTAGGATGAGTTAGATGGCTCATAGACACCTGAGGCGATCTTCGATTGGATGAGCTTGATGACCTCGTCCTTAATTCCTGGTGGAATGAAGGGTTGGTGATGTGCCCATGGTGTGTGTTCGATGGTGGGGATGATTACAGGAGGAAAATACTCATCTTTGAAACAGCCCTTCTCCGATTTGTCCCAGGCAAGAGCCAACTCATTATTCATAAGCACTTGTGCCATGAGTTTCTGTTCTTCAGGCCAGAGGAACTCATTGCGAAATACTCCCAGTTCGTTCATGCGTTCTTGGGTGAGGCGTTTTCTGGGAATGAAGTCAGGTGGAATTGGAGACACGGCTGGAAGTGTTAGAAGGGGATCCTCGGGAATATGTCAGATTATGCGGGCATGGGCTGGCATGGTTGTTGCGACTGGCTTAACCTTGTTAGCAACCTTCTTATAGGCGAATACATGCCTTGTTTTATCATAGTCAAAGCAACTTTGCAGAAGATGTTCTGCAAGCGACGTAGCAGTGAGGACATGAACTGGAGGGTGATGAAAGGGCTTATCAGCAAGTGCTGCGGCTAAGGCGACTGAAAGAGCAGAGTTGCGAGTAGTTTTGATGTGAGAGGTGGGTGCAATGGAAGGTGCCGTGTAGAAGGCTGCAGAGGTGACAGAAAATGAACCTTGAGGCCATGGGCGTGGAGACGTTTGACATGTATGAACATTGCTATTGTTAAGAGGGTTGTGGATGGTGACTAGAACTCCATCATTAGTCTCAGTCTTCGATAATCTAACAAACTGCTGCCAAGGTCACCCTAAAAGGAGCTGATAGGGTGCATCAGATACTACATATGCATGAGCCCATGTCTTGATACCATCAATGTCGATCTCCAGCATTTCAACACATCCCCACATGTCTTGTGCTCCTCTGTTTGCAGTCTGCATTTTCATCCGGATGTGCTGGTTGTGAGGTGCCTGTGTCTTCTTCCATGTATCTTCTCGTATCACAATGATTTCCGAGCCTTTGTCAAGTAGACCGAGTTCCGAGTGAATGCCATTTAGAGTGACTTTGAGTTCGCGCAGTGGGGTCGCATGTTCGATGTTAGGTGGTGTTACATTTGTGAGTGTGGTGGTTTGGGAGTTTGCTGAGATGACAGTTGATGGAGCAGGGACTCTCTGGGTGCGACAGTGGTTCACAGTTTCACAGCGAAGATCAGGGCTAATGGCTAATAGGTCAGCAATAGTGAGGTTTGGAACACCATGTTCAGGATACTATGGTAAACACGCTGTGTGGCCTCTGGCAAGGCTGCTTTCGACTCATATGTGAAGGCTGGAGTCCTCTTGTCTTCTGAGTACTCGGCTTTCTTTTCATTGCTGATGCTTTTAGCAGGTGCGGGGTGTCCTTGCTGTTTCGACATGGCAGTTGGTTCATGGTGTTGTTCACCAGAGTCTTTGCTCGAGGAGTCGGACACGGCAGCTTTGGCTTTAGAGCATGTTATTGCGACAAAAACTCACCTCATTATCAACTCATGCATTGTGGCTGCACTAAAATGAGTCAATAGAACTGATTGCCACTGCGCAGCTCATTTATCATGGCTGCACTAAAACAAGTCAATAGAACTGATTACCACTGTGCAGCTCGGCTTGTAAATGGGAATTTTGTGAGTGTGACTATAGAGGATTTCTTTTTTCACCATGATATGTAGTACATTGATATCAATCTTCAGGCGCAGTGGAGCTGTGGGCTTGAAGCTTGCAAGAACCATGGCACGAGAACTGAGATGCACATGGGTGCCAGATACTGCTCCAAGGTCATTATAAGATTATGTGGTGGATGGATACATGTAAGATACATAATAGCAAAGCAGGAAGTGTAGATAACGAAATAGCACATTGTTCTTGTTGTTGTCACAAACAACAACAAGGTCATCCATTCTGGGTTTGAGCCACAGCGCCAGCCAAAATCGAGCCAAAACCAGCGGTCAGTGCATGGGTTGTACCGTTATGAAATTGGGTACCCCGGCTCGGCTCAGCTTAGCTAAATTTAGCTCAGCTTGGGTGGCTACCAGTTTTCAGCCAAGCTATTGGCAACACTAATCGTGCCTTTCAACCAAAATTTCAACCAAGTTGGCAATATCAGCAGTCACTTCCAACTGGTTGCTCAACTTTGTCTCAATGATGTTGGAATGAACACATTTAGGTTCCAAGTCAATTCAGACTGATCAAATCTGATTATAACAAGTGCAACCATCAACAATGCATATCTGAATCTATCTACATATAGTACTCCGCCACTGTACTATTACTTCTTTTGCAACTCCTTGTTGGCCGGCCACATCACTGCCCTTCTGTCAATGCATCTGGATCACCTGATGATGATATAGGTGTGAGTACCCCAGCCTTCTTTCCTCAGCCTTGTCAACCAAAGGATGATTGAGAAGCTACAGCTTGTGGCAAAACCTCCCTGGCGGGGATGGCAACAGTGGCAGGCACAATGGATGGGAATTCTGTGGCCGTGGTGACAGTGACAGCAGGTGTGACAGCAGGTAGTCCAAGTGTTGTAGATTCAGAAGTCACAGTGGGAACTGGGGTGATGATGGTTTCAGCTGGTGCTGCGGGAAGGGGCACTGGTGCAGCAGGAAGGGGTGCTGGTGCAACAGAAAGGGGTGCTCATACAGTGGGAGGGACAGCTGGTGTGGCCTGAAACATTATTGAACTGTAGATTATGGAAAGTATAAAATCTTCATTGGTAGTCGAAACATCTAAATCTGTGCAGCCTGCATTGGCGAGAGCCAAGTGCATTAAATCAGGTGTGAGATCATTGCCTTTGGCATCTGAAGTATGGAATGTGTCGCATGAGCATAGGCATGGCACAGAGTGAACACAATTTAGTTCCTGCAGGCTAAAATGAGGTGAATGACTCAAACGTGCAGGTGCCACAGTCTCTGCCAAAATGTTGTTTATCTGTGTCCCTGAAGTTATCGTGGTTGGACAAAAGTGTATTCACAAAGGCCATGTACCGGATGAGTCTAAAGTATCGAAGATTTAGAACTAGCCTTATTGCACCTCCAGGACTGAAGTCCAAGGATTCTTAGGGACTGCTGGAACCATCCGCAATTGGATCAAGGACTATGCGAGTATCACACGCCCTCTCACCAACCTCACTCGCAACAATGTCCCCTTTGAATGGACTCAGGAAGCTCAGGATGCCATGAACAAACTCAAGAATGCTATCATTAATTCCCCTGCCATTCGTCCTATCGACTACAGCTCATCTAATGAAGTAATTCTAGCTGTAGATTCGTCCTATATTGCCTGTGGGTGGATTCTGTCCAAGATTGACAACAATGGGAAATGACGTCCTTCCTGCTTTGGATCAATTACATGGAACAAACAAGAAGCTTGATACTCACAAGCCAAGATCGAGCTATATGGACTCTTTCATACCCTCAAAGCCACCAAAGTATGGCTCATTGGAGTCAAAAACTTGACCGTCAAAGTCGACGCCAAGTATATGATCAACAACCCTGACATTCAACCCACTGCAGCAATGAATCGTTGGATCGCTGGAATCTCTCTCTTCGACTTCAAACTCAAGCACATACCTGGAATAAAGCACGCTGGACCCGATGGCTTGTCTAGAAGACCACCAGCTCCTGAAGATGAGAGTGACGAAGAGTCTGCAGATGTAGAAGATTGGGTCGACGAAATCTTGGGCTGTGGATTATGGGTTGCACACGATTTGGGCATGGGGGGTCTCGAAGTGATGAACCACGCAACAGTACTGCATTTCGCAGAAACTTCGCACATATCTGATCTTGACCTTCCCTCCGATGATGCTTCCCGCGCTCGTGATGATGAACTGCGGACTTTACAAGGATACCTCGAGTCCCTCACACTTCCTCCCAATGCCTCAGATGCTTAGTCTCTCCGGATTCGTAAGCAGGCAGGCCATTATTTTGTCTTTGGTAATTGCCTCTGGCACAAGGATCCAGGCGGCTGTCATCAGCTTGTACTTTTCGGTCCTGACCAAACTCGCATCCTACATGAAACACACGACCGTCTTGGACACAGAGGCTTTTATCCTACTCGTCGCACCATAGTGGATCGTTTTTGGTGGCCTATGCTCAATAAAGACTTAGCATGGTACCTCAGAACATGTCACCAATGTCAACTCCGTTCGGTGGAGAAAGTCGTTATTCCCCCCATCGTTGCTGTTCCTGCCCCCCTTTTTCGCAAGGCATTTGCTGATTCAATGTTTATGCCAACCTCACATGGTTTCACTTACATTGTCCAGGCTTGTTGCTCCCTCTCCAACTGGCCAGAATGGCGAATGCTACAAAATGAAACTGGTCGCACTATCAGCTCCTTCATCTTCGAGGAGATATTATGTCGCTGGGGAGGTTTGGAGGAAATCGTTACCGATAATGGTACCCCATTCGTCGCTGCCATAGACTGGCTCTCTCAAAAGTATCATATCAATCACATTTGAATTTCCGCATACAACTCTAAAGCTAATGGACTCGTCGAGTGTTCGCACCAAACCATCAAGGACTCCCTCATCAAGGCATGTGATAGCGACATCACAAAGTGGCCTACACTCACCCCGCATGTCTTTTGGGCCGATCAAGTGACAACTCGCAAAAGCACTGGTTACACCCCCTTCTTCCTCGCACATGACATAGCCTTTGCTCCCATTCGACATTCATGCTTCCCGACATCTCTAACACCATTTCCTCTGCTGATCTTCTCGCCCTCCGTGCATGGCAGCTTGACAAACGAGAAGAAGACTTATCTCTTGCCCATGACCGCTTGTTGCGCAGCCACCTCATGTCAGTCAAAGACTTCGAATGTTGCCATGCCAACACAATACACCACTATAACTTCAAGCCCGGGTCACTAGTTTTAGTACTAAACAAGAAGATAGAGGCTGCTTCGAACACCAAATGCAAACCTCGGTACTTTGGGCCTATGCTCATCGTTTCTCGGTCCCAAGGAGGTTCTTACTGTCTCACAGAAATAGACGGCGCCATATCGAAGCTCAAATTCACTGCTTCGCGTCTGATTCCTTATTACCTGTGCTCCTCTTCTTCACTGGATGTAACACAGTTCATCAATGCTGCAGACCTGGCCGGAGTTGCACCTGATGGAGAATAGTTTTGTCGTTAGAGGATCAACTGGGACAGTTGATATTTCAAGTTGGGGGGAAGCCTGTGGCTTTGATGCTGGATGCTTGCTCGGACCCTTTGTGACACAGTACGCACTGCCTTCCATTATACTTCCCATTCATATCTCTATTTCTACCTTTGTTCTAAACTCACGACCAGGTTCCCTTTCCTTCTTTATGCCTTTGTTTCGACAACACCTCCATTCTGCTTGCCACTCACATACATATATATAGAGCCATGTACCTATTCTACGAGAGGATCGAATGACCATCCGTTTTCTATAGCTTCGTGATACTCGAATGAATCCACTCGAAAAGATAACTCATTTCTTGCCGCAGCCGTCACAATTCCCTGCATCAAAACCATTCCCCTTTGAACTCGAACTCAGCCTTACAGTACCATTAGAAACTTGTCAAGTTTTAATTGTTCTAGGAGCAACAACATCACAAGAGGTGTATGCACATTCTGGAGGTGCGATAGCCTAGAGTGTGATGCACAAGAGTATAAAACTCCATCATGACTGACAAGTAAATCAACTCTATGCAAATATTTTGCGAGATTACATTCTGACTACAAATTATAATATGTCTATTGCTACGCAACAAGTGTAACAAATCCATACAATAGACCACAATGAGTCAAATTGAAGATTTTTGTGTTATTTTTATGGGTTATATTCAATAAGACTAATGAGATTTGTTAACGTAGATTGAGAGGAAAGAGAGTGGATAAGGTTTCCCTGCTTAAGTAGTGAATCAGACTCAGTTGAAACTCCAATGAAAGGGGTTTTGATGCTTTAAGTAAGTAGGTGGCTGAGTGGATGGTTAGCAGACAGTGGGTGGCTGCCAGATGTGTCCATCGGAGTTTTGACTGAGTCTCATTCACTACTTAATGAGCAAAACCTTATTCTATTATAGTTCTTCCATCCATAGATCAAGTTCCCTGAAGTATATCATTCCCTTAAATTTACAAGTCATTGTACAAGTCCACAATGAACACACCTCTTATATATGATAAGACTTCTTTATTTGTATCACCAGCAGGTTCCATCCAATACATTTACACTTCTTCCATCACCTCCCAACAAACAGACCAGGACTTCTGAAAGGAGAAGTATAGAACACAAAATGACCCTGTTGAGTATGGAATTCAGCTATGTTCAAATGCTCATACTTAAGATTATGCTTGTGGCCTTCATTTTTCAAGGTGCCTGTGGTGTTCTGGTCCTCAAGTACACAAATCATAATTGCTAGCAGTTCGTTTTCTGTAACTTTGTATTTGTTCTGCCCCTTGTACTATAATCATGCCTCATTCTATTTGAATACAGCACACTGCACTTTTAGACATACACTAGTGATTTCATAGACAATGGTCAGAAAAGAATGAGACAAAAAGAGACAGATCAACCACATGGAAGTTGCCAGTGGAGTTGCAGACAGAGTGAAGGGAAATGTAGATGTATCCTACTGACAAAGACCCTCCTCCACTATTGTGGGAGTCAGGATGTTTATAGCCTTCATTTTCCGGGTCAAATATCTAATGCTCATCAACCTTGCATACCAGTGGAGTCTATTCATATCAGAAGTGTGGTAGGCAGTGGTAGGCATATGTAGCCTTGTGACAAAGGCAGAAAAATGTGATGGCGAAGTAATAATTCATAGGGAAGAAATTGTCCTTGTGTTGTTGGGTACAGAAAGGGACAGCTGTGAAGGCTGCAGCCTCGCCATTATTAGGCTCTACAAATGCAAGCTGTGAATATCACAATCTCGTCACTGGGACAATCTGCAGCCTCTCACAATGGTGAAGTTCAATGAACTTCTTCCAGTGGAAGAGGCTCATCAGTGCTCTCATGAGAAATCCATGCATTGAGGACTTCCTCAATCTCTTTATGAGTAATGCCTCCACACTTCTGATCTGCATCTGCATCAAGAAATTTGTGGCACCATGCCTGAACAAGACCCTTGAGCATGCCAAAGTAAGTTGTTGTACAATTCATTAATTCCGTGTTGCATTGTGGAATGAGCACCAGCCCTGACTTGTATGGAGCAGCCAAAGCACTGTAAAGAGTTGATTCCTAGTGGCTATACAAAAGGTGTTACCTTAAGACTCAAAAGTGCGAGTGAGATGTTTGTGCTGAAGAGACTGCCTGTAGGATTATCTCTTGATATAAAATGCAAGGGATATCTTGTTAAGATCGAGGATGAGAGAAGGAAAAGATACCTCAAGTACGTTCAGAGTTCCGAAGAATTGTCCGAAGTGTGTGGTATAGGTCTGACATTGAGAAACGAAGGTCTGAGGTTGCGCGAAGCTTCTGGTGAAACAGCAAGGTTTCCGGTAGAGAATACGGTGTTTGTCGAAGTATAGAACTCTGCGTAGTATGACTAGCAAAAGTTCATTGAAAGACTTAGGGATTTCAAAAGCAAAATGGCAGCAGTGAGGCCAAACAATCGTTCTGAATGAACAAAGATCGATTGTGTGAAGTACTAAAATCCAGAAGTGACTACTACTAACTATGACTTGAAGCAAGGGAAGTAAAGTGAGTTGCAAGTACCTAGTGAGCCAGAATATATCCTATGACGTGAAAGTCCAGAATCTGCATAGGCGAAAACTGTAGCGAGATAAGACATCTGAAATGTAATAAGACTCAAGGTGAGTCGCTACAAAGATATACTTGTAATAATGCACGAGGTGCATATCTATACGTATTAGCAAGGGTTTTCGATGTATGTGCCCCTAGACATAATCAATAACAGATAACCAAGTGAAAAATGCACCAGTGAAGTCAAACAGACAAGGGCAGGACATGGTACCGAGGATCGGAAAAGCTAGAAAGGCCTCGGAATTGGACAGACGACCTTCAGACGACTCGGACAAGCATGCGGAACTTTTCAGAAGATCGGAAGTGTGTTGAGGAATATAAAACATGATTATCACCAGATACGTGCCCAACGCCAACCTGAGTGTTACAGTGCCCATGTCCTCAATGGCCTGACCCCACTGTTCCATCTGGAGGTCTGTTTGCTTGCCTGTCGGCCCATCAAACATGGTAATAAAGTTGACAAAGATGTAGAACAGAGGTTCATCCACCATTGGCTCTTTCAATCACAGTTGCTGCATAGAGAAGGCGGATAGATATGTATGGCACAGTACCCTACATATAACAACATCAGCAAATCTAATCATGTTAACTTCGATCGTGACTCACAGTACCCTGTGAATGAACACCAGTGTTGCCTTCCATAATGATCTGAGCGTGGTCAAAGTCGATGAAGTAGCTGCGTCCATTGGAGATAATGAAGTTGTTGGGGCTAAGGTCTCTGTGTAGGACATTCCTTTGTACCATCACCTTGTGCGCTGAAAATAAATGGTCAATATTAAACTTCAAATTCTATACACTCAAAGACAGCAACCCACCCACTACAAAGTCATGAAAGGCAATTATTAACTCTCGTTTAGATAAGTACATGAATAGCGGCTCTCCGCATGGTGTCAAAAGCAAGTGTTGGTGGTATTTACAGTGAAATCCTGGGCTGAGTCTCATGAAGTTGTCAGATGCACACTGTGGAGTCAGGCTCTCCCTTGTACTCGACATCTCAAGCGGCCATGAGAGTAACCACATGAGGAATGCCCCGGACTATCTCAAGGACCTTTGCCTTGTAAGTTCTCTTCACATCCTCTACCCAACAATCCTTCAGTGCATAGTCTTGTCCATGCCGATCCCGAACATGATTAAAATGGTTCCACAGGAGAAAAGGCCCTGGCTTCTCCATAAGATGGATATAATGAGTAATTTTTCCCTCTCCTTGTCCTCTATCCAGCCTATCACCTTGCCCCCCAAGTCACATTGTGTTTCCTTGCATGACTCGTCGCACATATGCATGGTAGGATCCATGCCATATGCTTTACTGTTCACTAGTGACATGGTATCAAGCATATCAACAAGACATGCCAGGTTTTGATGACTGAGATAGGGTGTGTGATGATGAGGCCTGAGTGGTCCATATGATGAGCATGGAGATTGTTTGATGCAAGGCTGAAAAGGATGGCACAGCAATGCCAAGGTTGTTCTCACATAACCCTTGATGGTTACCCCCTTGAACAATGGTATGTTGCGGTGTGCACCAAAATCAGATTCGGTGATCTCGATGCAAGTAAGGATGTGTGCCCAGCCTTTTGGTCGAACTTTGCTAGAAAGCAGGACTATGTTGGGTTTTTGGATGTTGGTTGCATCTGGAATAGGAGTATTGCAAAACTCCAGAGACCAATGTCAATGCGGGTGTTTGGGTATTTGAGGCTCAAAAGGGAATACAAATGAGCACAAAGGGTGTGTTTCTCTGTATTTCATGCACATGGCTGTGTAGGTAGAATTGAAGAGATGCACCTATTTTTGCTTTTCAGTCCGCTGTGTGCGAGGAATGATAGCTAGATAAGAAGGGGTGAAAGGGGAAGTAAGGGTGAAGTGGGGTAAAACCCAAATAGACCTCTGGATGTGAGTATAGATTTGGCCCAAGGGGATTGCTACTGAGAATGATTCCTCTATGTAAAATAATGGAGGGAAATCACTGAACTGGTAAGGGTAAGTGGGAATGGATGGAGCACAAGAATTAGCGCAATGCAATGCGAGCGTGAGCGAGCCGCCGATGACGCAACATGAAGTGAAGTTGAGCGACTGAAAATATGTTAGCACATGAAAGCACGTGACGGTGCCTAAGGTAGGTGCAAAAGCCATGAGGCATAAAGTTAGAGCGGCCAAGAGATGTACTGAATAGGCAGTGCAAGATAAATGAAACACAGGAATATGAATGTATTTGCACAACTGTTCAAGATGCGTGCATGACAATATGCGATATGTTTAGATTCTGAGTCGGAACATTATTGCGTGCAAGTGGATGTCTAGATTTCGTATATGGGAGAGAGATAGATACATAAAAAAAATTTCAAGTACAAGTATATATGATAGCGCACTAAGCGCTCTTTGGAGCCAAATAGATAATGGTAATATGTAATAAGGGGAGCCCCTTCAGTGACAAATTCCGTATTATACGGGCCACCCGACCTCCATAATATCCCGTATGAGACAGGCCAGCTGATCATGGGCCCATGTTGTGTATATTCTCGATGATGACGGATGGGCCGGGACACATATTATTTCTGATGGAGACGGGTGGGCCCATGTATGCCAATGATATATATATCCTTAATGTTGACGGATGGGCTGGGGGAATATGATCATTCATGGAGATGGGTGGGCCCATCTGGGTAATAGGAAGATAGAAAGATAAACAACTTAGTGCGTTGTAGGATATTATAGACAGCTGGGCTGAAGAGAGATGTAAGGCAAATATTGTTATATAGACGGGCAGGCCGACGTGGGTGTATTACATATATGGGTGGGCCAAGGTAGGGGAATATTACATAGACGGGTGGGCTGACGTAGGGTGTATTACATATACAGGTGGGCCGACGTGGAATGTATTACATATACGGGTGGGCCGACGAAAGGGATATCAAATAGACCAGTGGGCCGAGGGTGCTATAAAATATTTATTACATAGACAGGTGGGCCGAGGTGGGGTATAATTATATAGACGGGTGGGCCGATGTAGGATGTATTATATAGACGGGTGGGCCAACATAGGATATATTACATAGATGGGTCGGCCAACATGGGGGATAATACATAGATGGGCGGGCCGACGGGGGTGTATTACATATATGGGTGAGCCTAGATATGTTCCATCAAGACATACAGCTGATGTAGCCACCAGCGAATCAAACACATAGGATACATGTACACTATGAGTGCATATACCTACCATCAACCACCAAATCTAAACCCCTAAGCACAAAAACATGAATCGATCATGTGTGGCATTGACCAATAATCCAGGACTGAAGTGGAAAAACCCCACACCTGAACCCTGGTGTGCAACAAATCCTATTTCTAAGCATGGACACCAGAAGCACAACACTCACAAAAATATATATGTCAAATTTTCAGTGCCAAACCCCAAACCGAGATGTACCAACCCCCGAACCACGAACCCCGAAACCCGAGACTGCTGGGTCTTGGGTATCGGGTGTCCGGAACTCGGAACTTGGGAGAATTTGGGGAGATCAATACAATTTAATTTACAATCGAGTTGATTGACAACACATTGACTTACCCATGTTTGCAATATATTTTTGTTTAGACATACTGAGTTCCGAGTTCTGGACACCTGAAACCCGAGACCCGAGACTGCCGGGTCTCGGGTTTCGGGTGTCCAGAACTCGGAACTGGGGAATATTTGGGGAGATCAATACAATTTGATTCACAATCAAGTTGATTGACAAACACATTGACTTAACTATGTTTGCAATATATTTTTGTTTAGACATACCGAGTTCCAAGTTCCGGACACCCGAGACCCGGCAGTCTCGGGTCTCGGGTATCGGGTGTCCGGAACTCAGAACTCGGTATGTCAACAAAAATATATTGCAAACATAGTTAAGTCAATGTGTTTGTCAATCAACTTGATTGTGAATCAAATTGTATTGATCTCCCCAAATTTTCCCTGAGTTCCGAGTTCCAGACACCCGAGACCCGAGACTGCTGGGTTTCAGGTGTCGGGGTTCAGGGGTTGGTACATCTCGGTTTGGGGTTTGGGGAGTAAAATGTTTACAGATATACATAGGTTGATTTAAACATGTCTGGAAGATGTCGTTCGTCTAAAATGTCAAATCCTGAGTTCCGGGTGTCGGGACTTGGTACCCGGCACCCGGGACTCGGGGTTCGGAACTGATAATTTGACATTCGGGTGTTCGGGTGATATCTACCTCAATCTGCAGTTTCAAGTTCTGGATATAGGGAGTGATCATTGAATGATTCAATTGTGGCATAGGTAACATGCATGGAAAAACATTTATGTACATCTATCACTGAGCAATTATGTAGCCATGTCAACCTCCTCACCAGGAAGATCAACCTTTCCCTCAACATCCATCTCCTCATCAGAAGAATCATATTCTGGCAGGAGGTTACCTGGTTCATTAGGGACCACAATATCGCCGGGGGATTCTGGCAGGAGGTTGCCTGGTTCATCAGGGAGATCAATTTCGCCGGAGGATTGTGGACCCTCAGGCTGAACTTGGGTGGGCTCAACCATGGGACCTACCACAGCAGATTCATGCTCAGGCGTCAAGGGTGTAGGTTGCATGACTGAAAAGTCCAAATCAATGAGGTTGGAAAGTGTGGAGGGGAGGGGTGACATGGACAGGGGGGGACCTCCTTGACCAAGCAACATTATTCCATTGGCCGGTGTGTCCGGAAGTGAAAATGAAGGGTGCCAGTCGACCACTGTGTGCCGGAGGCTCTCATGGAGGCGTTGCAGGGTATCAATCTTAGCATCCTGCTCCTGCACCCGAGCCTCAAGAATAGCGATGCGAGCTGCACCATCCCGAATCGCAATTGCCATGGAATGGAGATCCGGCATGGGAACATTGAGTGCTGCATGAGGCACTGCGACGCTGGAAGACCTGACTGCTAAGTAAAAAATTAGGTCAGCCGGTCATCAAAAGTATGGGTGACTTACCAGCTGGCGCAGGTGCAGGGACAGGTGCAGGAACAGGTGCAGGTGCAGGTGCAGGTGCAGGTGTCTTCTTGGTAGTGATGGTCTTGCTGCAACCACGTGACTGCACCTGGGGTGTAGTTGCAGCAGGGATGGCCGGAGTTCGGGAAGGGCCACGAGATTGACTACGAGTTCGGGCCCTTGACTGGGAGGGAGATGGAGCATTGGATGGAGCAGGGGCGGGTGTCTTGGAACGTGTCTGGCCGGTGGTAGACTTCCCTCGGGTCCGTTTGGGCGGGGATCCCGGAGATGCAGGGTTGCATTTGATCTTCTTGGTAGAGCAGTGGATGCAAGACAAGCAGGGGAGGCTGGACCTCTTGTCCAATTGAGTCGCACAGGGCCAATTTTCCTTGACGCAATAATGGCAGGGGTTGTTCTGTAGTATCTGTTAGTAGATGGACTAAGGGGAATTTATTTGAGTACTCACTGGGCCGGGAATGGTGATATCAAATGTGGTAGTGGCCGGCGGGTCACCATCTGAAGCACTGGAAGTATCATCGGAGGACTCCTCCTCAACTTCTGGATGCCTGCCGGAGATTGCCTGACAGATTGTTAATACACATGAGTTTCTGGAAAACTTCTAAGACTTACCCGAGCCTCCGGACGACTGGCCGGAACCTCTGGACGACTGATGGGAGATTTCTAATGTAATGGGAATGAGTGGGAATTATACATGGGAGGTCCGGACATGTCCAAACGACTCACCGTAACCTCCAGATGACTGCCGGCAGTCAGCTGTGGACACATGAGCATATATTTAAAGTCCAAACGAAAAATGCAAACTTACCGAAGCAGGCCCAAATGATTGCTTCTTGGGGGAACCGGGTGACTGAGGCGACTGGGGCTTCCTTACCAC